CGAGCTCATAAACCAGACAAAATCATAGCAGCAGCCGTTTCTACCTCACAGTATAAGCGTAAAAGCGTTAATAAAGTAACAACAAATATCTATTATATCTATAAAGTCACAAATACATATTAATTATTACTCAAATTATTATTTCAATCGTTCTTAATATATCAAGTGTCTATATGCAAAGAAAAGCCAAAAAACTATGGTTTTTATCATTAAATGAAGATATAGCCTAAAGATGCTTTGCGTGCGGGCTTTACGGCATAACAAGGTTTCATTCGCCTATAGGGTTCAGTATGTTATATTAAAAAGAGCGATTCACCTGACAGCCACCGCTTTTGTAAAAGTCACGTTGGAACGGCACATATCTGAACTAAATCTTTACATTGCTTGGCGTCCATAGTTAGTGTGATGGCAACGAAAATGAATCGCTTTTGGGAATGGTATGTAGTAGCCCTTTACGATACAAAATATTCATACACTCAGATCATAAATGTGTGCTCAGAACAATTATTTAGAATTTCCAAGACGGGACATCCCCTATGGCAATTGAAAACGAAACAGTATATATCAACTTGTGACACCCAAAACATGGCTTGCCAGTAGTAGTACGACTTTCGTTAATGGGTATAAAGGTACAATATTACTGGTTTAAGAGTAAAACGAATACAACTGACAAAGAGTTATATTTTTCTGGAAAATGTGTATGAGATTTAAAAATATTTTTTCACTATTATGCCCTGAAAGACAGACGTTTTGGCTTTCGCCATTACTACCTTTTCCGGGGATTTTGATAAAATATGGTTATCTCTTAGTTAAGAAAAACTGTACATCAGGAAATAAGATTTTATAGATAAACCAGCATAAATAAATAGATCCGGGACGATTGTGCAAGAGCTGTGATTAAAGAAATAATATGATAAAAGTGCCCCTGAAATTAACTAGAGAATTTGGTTTGTTTTGTTTTGAAATTCACTCAAAGCTGCACGAGGGCTATCTGCGCTAGCCGTCACTAATTTATCAGTGAAAGACTAGAGGGAAGGCAGCTAGTTATCACCACCCACCGCTAACTCTTGGGCTACTCTTTTACTAACGAATAGTGGGATTGACCGTCATATTATAACCCCCCACAGCTGAAAGGGCGAGCATGTTTTGGTGGGACGGGGATTCGAGCCCGCGACAACTAGAGAGAGAACCAAGAAAAAAAAAAGGTAAACGGAAACGTAATCTGCAAGCCTTATCAGTTCAGTTTGTAGAAAGGTAACTGTTGACTTGGTAAAATGAAACATCATTATTATTATTACAGTGTGCAGATATATTTGACAAATTAAGAAACTTGAATTTGTCACGTGAGATGTTATGCATTTCATCATCAGTTTATTTGTTATAGAAGTAAGCAGTTTCTCCATAATACGTGTAGTAGGTGGTTGTTGAACACGAAAAGTATCGTGGTTTTATATTGGCTTATAACATTATGCTATAGACGCTAGTATTTCAACTTGCGTTTTAACCCTACTTTACCCATACATTTTTTTTTCATTAAAACAGCTATTCTTCAATTCTGTAATTGATATTTTAAATTAATCATAAAAAAAAGAGTATTAATTAGGTTGATATATTATTGGATCATTTAATCCTGCTATTAATTAAAAACAAAAAGACCACTTCGCTTGGAGAGGGGGGAGGGATGGGTAGAGATTACTAAATATAGACGACTGGCCTTCTGCGGACGTTATGTCGCCACGCAAGGACACTACACATCATATATAGCCATGCCAGTTGTCGGTAAACAAACCCACGTGATTTTTACATGTGCCACTCTGTACCATTCAAGGGTGCAGAGTGCTGGAAGATTCGACGCTGTTTGTGTGTATGGGGGTGGGGGATATGGTTGCTGGAGCGAAGAGAGAGGTTCCCTGACCATTCATGTAAACCGCTCGCTAAATCTGACCCAGATCACGTTCGTATCATATTTCAAAAGCTGTGTGCTCTGTCTCTTGTCGCGCGGTGTCAACTATACTAGGCACTGACAGAAGATTTCAAAATAGTTCACGAAATTTGCAGAAGTTCGTTTTTCACTCCAGTATTATTTAAGTGTTACTTAGTTAAACACAAGCGTAATTCGGTTTTATACTTATTATCTACATGACTCAGGCTATTTCATTGTCCACCGAACCAGTGGTTCCCAAGCTCTTTTAGTCTGAAGCTCCCTTGATGTGAATGAAAAAAAAAAGTTTGAGCCCACCCTATAACTTTAGCATGGTGATTGAAAAACAGTGCTGTAATAAAAAGAATAACATCTCCTTTCAACATACTGTATCATTTAATTAATTCAGCATTTTTATTTTAGGCCCATTTTTTGGTGGCTCCCCAGAAAAGTTCCACGTACTCAGGGGGGGCCAGGGCTATCACTTTGGGAAACACTGCTAAACAATAGACCTAAAAAATAATTACATCAAAACACTAAGATAATAACTAAGTTGTCAAATTTAAAATATCTTTCTCGAAAACTGATGCTTTCATATTTTAGAATCTCATATAGTGTATTGAAAATTAAGAGATATATTGAAAAGCACATTTAATAACCTAAGATTATGATAAAATTCGACTATACAATGCTCTTGAGAATTCGATAGAAAACACTTGGTGTAGTGTAGTATAAACAACTAAAAATACAATCATAAAGTAGGAGTCGTGCCTGTTCATATTTGTAATACAGAATTATGACCATAAAAATGAACATTCATACATAGAAAATAAAAGAATAATCTAGTAATTTACATGAAATGACACTTCACAACCATGTGAACAAATAGTACTGGTGACTGCAAAAGTTGCGTTATTTATGACATAGTTACTTGTAGGATTTGCATCACTTTGGCTGATGTTGCTGTTTAGCTGAATGTTTCGAGTGATTTAATTTGTAATAGAGAAAGCTAAAGTTAATGAAGAATTACATACAGTGAGGCTGTTATCAGTATAACGTATAGTACTTGTCTGATAAACAGGTCATATAGACCTAATATATTCCTTTTTTGTAAAATGCATATTTTTTGCTCAGAGTGACTTTTAATTTTATATTCAAATACATGGGCTATTAACTACTATCACTGCAGTTAAAAGCAGGATTTATTGTGTAAAATAATAGTTATATTAAGTGTCATGCTAGGAGTTTTTCCATATGAGATCTGGGTTAAATGTTGTGAAACTGTTTGGCCCCTCAATACCTTAAGTTACAGTTGATTATTTAAAACTTGTATTTCAACTGAAGGAAGAGCTGAGGGCTTGACACTAAGTAACATTACAAATTATTTGTAAAGATATTTCAGAATTATCCATCACAATTTAGGACTGGAGAGTGCTTATTTTATGTTTTTTGCTTAAAAGTGTAGATGTGCATTAATTTAAATATTTTGACTGGATGGATATATTAAATACTTATTATGTAACAATATTTAATCATTTGAAACAATAGAAATTATTTTCATACATTATTTAATGGGAATTCCACTTTGAGTAAGAAGTATTGTGATTTGCAAGTTTACTAATAAGGTTCAGGCCAGTTTCAAAAGGACTAATAATGTAATAGTTAACTTAGGATAAATTTGTGTATATAAAGACTGAATTGTGCCAAAAAAGTTTATTTATAATCCCAAAATATAAAACATATTTTAAAATCTCCATTGGAAATAATCTTTTAGATTCAGTTTTAGATTTTGATGCTAGTTGAGAAATTCTGTTTTGGTGCAGTTAAGTTTATCTGTTTTTCGTTCTTTTGTAATCATGTTTTTGGCATAACTTTTTTTTTTATCAGTCATGAAACCAAAACAACCACTTGGGAGGATCCTCGGAAAGCAATGAATATTTCTTCAATAATTGGCTCCAGAAATTCTAACCCTCCAGTATCCAGTGGAGGAGGAAATCTTCCTTCAGTGAATGTTCAAAGTCTTGGGCCATTACCAGATGGCTGGGAGCAGGCTAGTACTCCGGAAGGTGAAGTTTATTTTATTAACCACAAAGAAAGAATTACGAGTTGGTTCGACCCCAGAATAAGTAAGTTCCAGTTTTTAGCACAAGGTGAAATCCTGTCCCTGACTTAGCAGACTGCATACACTAAATTTGTATTTATAATAGGTTTTGTTGAAGTCAAAGCTACAAGGTAATTTCACATGATTTAGACTTTTCGGTTTAAGTAAGGTAAAACTGTGTATATAGCTGTTTCACAAAATAGAAGTCAGTTTTTTTTGGCATCAACACAAACTTTTGGTCCAGACCAAAAGTGATAAAAATTTGCCACCAATATATTTTTATTTTTTGATAATTAATAACAGTTTACTTTTTGAAACAGTTTATTGTATAACTATTAGTAGCATCATTGTTAATTTGTCTTAGTGTTTTAAATCTTGTAGGTAAAAATGGCAATCACTGATCTTGATATTCCATTTTACGAGTTTAATGGTTTAATAGAACACTTGTTAACTCAATTAACTTTATAATTTGCTGGTGATAAGTGCCATTTTAATTGGTACATCTTTATGGTGTTAAAATGTCTGTTTCTGTCACAGTCTGTTAGAGTAATCATGAACATACGTGAAACTGTTTTTCAGTATCTGTATATTAAGGTGCAAATTTGAAATATTAGGGTACAGTAACATAAATTGATAATTTGGTTTTAAATGGGCTTTAAAATGTGAAAAGGAGCCTCTTTTGATATGAAATTTGAAATAACATGAATTAACAAACTGTTTAGATTTATGTCATCAAGATACTTGTTATTACCTGTATTGTTATGGGATTTGAAAGGAAGGGTGTTTATAAGCTGTTTAGATTTATGTATGCCTGTTCAACCTCAGTTTACTTCAAATAATTTCACTGACTGTGTAAATTTTAATAATGATCAAGAACATACACTAGAACAATAACTTCTTTTTTTACTGTAAGCCTAAAGAATTATTTTCATATTTAAATTAGGACTAATTTTGGAGCAACTATTGTACACTGTAGTTTGACTGAAGAATTGATAAAATTATAGTCACTAAAAACATTCTTCACCATTACTAATGGTGTTTTTAAGGTGAATATCTATTTGCATGACATATATACTAGATTTACAAAAAAAAATCAAAGTGAGAATATGGTATAGTATATATAATTATCAGTAAGTTGGTTAAAAGGTTATGAAACTAGAGCACAGTAATAACCTTTGACAAGAATTGTTGGACTTTAGACTGGGCTTATGTTGTGTATTAGAGACATATGTGCCCACCAGGGGGAAATTCACAATATATATATTTTTTCATCAAATATATTGTTAAGAAAACTAATAATTAAAAAATAAATTATGTGCACTGAAGAATGAAAAAGCAGTAACTTTTCATTATATTTATTTCAAGCTTGATTTATATAGGGTGAAAATTTGTGCACAAGTTCTGTTAAATGGATAGCCTTTTTTTTTGAGAAGTTAAAACTTGTGTAATATTTTGTAAAGAACTAATATGCACACAGTGTTGTTACCCATGATTTGCCTGTTGTGCTAAAGACGTGCTTTTTTAAAATTTGCTTTACAATCAAAACCTGTTTTACTTGTATAATTGATTTATTAAATGTTAAGCATGCTTTTTAAGTTTTTTTTTCCTTTTTGTTTTATAGTGCTTCAATTGGGGAAACTGCAGCTTGCACCAACACAACTACAACAGACAGGGGTTCCATCTCAACCAGATCAGGAAGTTAGTACACCAAGAATTTATTCAACATGTTCTTGTGACTACTATGACTTAAATTTGTTTTGTTTTTCACTTCTTGCATATATTGAAATATGAAACATAACATGTTGGCATTATTATTATATTTGTTGAACTGAAATATTTCTAGGCTGAAATATGTGTATTTTTGTTATTAAAGGTTAGAGTATGATTAGATACAGACACAAATAAGAAAAAAACATTTACAGTTCATTTTATTGTTGTCTGTCATTTATTATTTGTAGCCATACAATTTTATGTTTGTGCTAGGTTTCAGTGGATGCATACCTCAATTATTGCTTTGTTAAACTGTTAGAAATTGAATTGAAAGGTGAGAATAAGAAATTTTTCATGTATATAAACATACATCTAACTGTATTAATTAAGTTCAGAAACAGTTTTTAAAAATTATTTTTTGCAAGTAATTTGTTATTTTTGTGAAATTATGAAACTTTTAAGGTGTCGTGCATTGAATCCAGTATGAAACCCTGTAATGAGATCATATTGTGATGGTTATTTCAAAAGAACTCTTCTGTGATTAAATGACATTTTTGATATGGATTAGTTTAATAAAGAAGATTGATTTTGTCATTGGCAGGTGCAGGTCAGTTCTTCTAGCAGTGGAACACTTGATTCTTCACCCACAGTTACTATGGTTACTGCAGGCCCAGCTAGTTCTGCCACTTTACAGCAACAGCTAAGACTTCAAAAACTGCAAATGGAGAGAGAGCAACTCCGAATGAGACAGCAAGAAATTTTACGACAGGTAGTCACCTTTCTGTCATATTACTGAAAGTCACTTGTTGGCTATATGCTGCTAGTATTGATAATTCTGTTCATTGTGTTTTTATTATGTATGCTAAAAAAAGAAGTAAAGCAGAAGAATGTAATGTGATCTTCAGAGAAGGTGCAACATTCATAAGTTTGAAATTTATTTGTTTCTTGCAAAGTTATTTATGTTAGTAAAATGGTAGTCCAGAACTGTAAACAGAAAATGGAAGATTAATTAAGAAATTAGTATTCACTTTTTTGTTTATTCTGTTAAACATTTTAACATTGTGGAACCCCACTCTTTCTCATAAACTTTGATTATGATAAACTTCCAAGATTGATTTATTAGATTTTCTGAAGAAAAAATTACAAATTATATTTTATTATTACAAGTTATAATTGTATTCAGTTTATTGTATTTCCTCTAAAATACACCAAATGTGGTACATAAGGTTTATTCAGGTAAAAAAAAGAAAATAAAAAAAGTCTGATAGGCTTAAGGGGTCAAAAATCACAAAGATGCAAAGTTTGCTGATGGTTGATACTTGAATTATGACTGACATTTTACTTAAAACTTTATGTGTAGAGACTTGTTTTGGGCACTAGTGTATTGGGAACTGAAATGTGCATAGCATGTTCTCAGTGGATTCGTATCTGACTGGTGGTGCTGTTCCAATTCCCTCTTGAGTGCATGAATATGATGTAAAAGTCCCCAAATTCCTTTGAAATTACATTTTCAATTTATTGCTGAATGTTTCTTGTGGTGCTATGTTTTTCTAGTGATGAACATGTTAGTTTATTAGTGTTCCAATATGAACTTATGAAGTTTGATAGTATTCACATGGTGTTTTGTTTTTAAAGAGGTGAATATTTTAGTTGATTAATATTCATAAGATTCTGTGTATTGCATGGAGATGTAAATCTTGTTAGTATTAATGTGTTTTTTTTTGTATATTTCATGAAAATGAACACTTTAGTTCTTTGGCATTCTTCTTTGTATTATCAAGAGTTAAGCATTTTGGTTCACTGGTATTCATGTAATTCTTTGTGACATATAAGAATGGTGTGAAGTTCCTAAGACATGTACCCTAAGTTATTTATATTTACATGGTTCTGTGCTATGGTGCTTATCCTTCCTTGGTCATGAAAGTGTCTCCTTACTTTTGACAAATTCAGGTCAAAGCTGCAAAAATTAAACAGCATATGGAAGAGTCACTCTTCCATGTCCTCATTCGTGGGCACCATGGGTTCTGTGTATTTTGTAAAAGTGGACATTTTAGTTTATAATTATTCACATGGTTCTGTATATTTTTTAGAAGCAGGCACTTAAGTTTATTAGTACTTATATGGTTCTTTGTATTTTGTGAAAATGGAAATTTTAGTTAGTTGGTCTTTATATGGTTCTTTGTATTTTGTGGAAGTGGACACTTTAGTTAGTTGGTATTCATATGGTTCTGTGTATTTTAGACATTTTAGTTTGTTAGTTCTCACATGGTTCTGTGTATTTTTTAGAAGCAGGTAAGTTTTTTAGTACTTATATGGTTCTTTGTATTTTGTGGAAGTGAACACTTTAGTTAGTTGGTCTTCATATGGTTTTAGACATTTTAGTTTGTTAGTTCTCACATGGTTCTGTGTATTTCATGGAAATGGATATTTAAGTCTATTAGCATTTGCATAGTCCTTTGTAAATAGAGTTTGGTTTATTGTTATTAGTTGAGGATACCCATTAAGGAAGCAAATATTGTATAAAGGACTATGTTAGATAATGTTCTCTTTCTTTCTTGTGTTATTGTTAAATCCCTATTGACCTCATTTAGCTGCTAATTGCATTACATGTTTTGTGGAAGATAATAATTGACTCATTTAACTTGAGTCTTTAAATTCAAAGCCAGAAAAAAAGAAATATAGTGGAAATGTGCTCTGTTTCAGCATGTTTTTTTTATCTCCCTTATCAGGCAAAAGTTCTAAAACAGAATAGTCCATGTACAATGCCAGACAGTTTTCAGGTACAATACAAAAAATTATGGTAGTTGAGCCAGCCAGTTGTGATTGATGGAAGCCAAAAGTATAAAAAGTGGAAATGTGCCCTATTTCAGAATCTTTTTTGATCACTCTTTTGGGGTAAATATCCTGAAACAAAATAGCTCATGTACACCACCAGATAATTTCCAGTAACCATACCAAATATTATAGTAATCAAACCAGCCAACTGTGAGTGATGATGCAAGCCAAAAGTTTTTAAAAAAAGTAGAAATGTGCCCTGTTTCATGGGCTTTTTTATCCCCCTTCTCAGGAAAAAATCTTAAAACAAAATAACCATTGTATGCTGTTGAACAGTTTCCAGTTATCACAAAGAAAATTTCAGTAATTGAGCCTATCCAACTCTGGATGATGGATATTAACACACACATATATAATGGATCATCTTTATAGCAAGATTCACATGGTTTGGTGTGTTTTTTGCAAACAAGCATTTTAGTTTAATAGTACTCACATACTTGTGTATTACCTGAAGATAAACATTTTAATTTTACAGAATTGAGGAAAGAAAACAAAGACAATTGTACATTTTACAAAAACTTCATTTATTAACAACCATGTTTTTGCCATTAAAGACATCATCAAGTTCATGACTGAAATGGTTTGTAAACAGGTTTATATATATACACCTGGAAAAAAGTTAAGCACC